TAGACTGTAATACAAATAGTTGAGTTTGCCAGGTGCATACAACATTTATGACAGGTTTTCATGAAAACCATTGGTCAGTTTGTCTGCTTGACAACCCCATTTTGCACTGCAACAATAAACTTGAAGTGAGATAAACAAACTGAGAAATTTTTCTTTTTAGTTAAAACAGATGTTGCCAAAGTTTTCATTTGGGGACATAATTTGAAGTTGGAAAAAGGTAATAAATTGCAATATATAACAGAATATTGCAATATATTTAAAATCGCAATAATATTGTATCGTGACAATATCGTGACCCTAATATATATACCAAAATCTGAAGAGTGCCTGCCCAAAGGGCTACCAGGGATTTTGAAATTTTGCGAGCCCTGATATCATATAATAAAATATCATTTGTTGTTACTACAGTAAATTTATATTAATTATGGAATCTCCTTCAATGCTTTCAGAATCTTTACTTTTTAAAATAATTTTGTTTCTGTATTTTTTTGTATATATTTTGATGCGTAAAAAACCTGCGTGACCATAGCAACCTGCAAATTATCAGAGATGGATAAAACATTTTTATCCAACCCACAGTCTTGTAAATTCGTTAATTGATCGTGTTTTTTTATTTAATATTTGTATATTATTATTATTAAACTGTAATATAATAATTTAATAATATTATTATATTAACTGGTTTACGGCTATATTTTTTTATTTATTGTTGTATTTCCCCTTTCAATTCGTGTATCGCTTTACCTAATTAACGCTCTGTATAATTATTATTAATATGCTACAATATATTTTGCAAATACTGTAAATGCCTGACAAATATGCCAATAAAGTTTTGACTTTATTATTGTATTTACGCCCATCGTGGCCACAATAAAACTAAGTGAACTGAACATGTCCCCTCCCGATCACCGTAGGGAAGTGATTAAATGAGTAAATATTTCAGTAAATGACCAGGGAGCTTGTTAACACAGACCACCTGGTTGAACATTTGAGCAAAAGATCTCAAAAGTCAGCGGTATGAGTGGCCTAATAAGTTACAAAGAAGCGTTTGTTAATGCTACTTGAGAAAATAGTTTATTAATATAATAAACACAGAACTGTAGCAGAACTGACTTTACACTGCTGTGATGCAATTTCCAATATTGTGAAAAGGCAGGTTTGTGTAGCACAGTTCAAAAGACTAGCCTAGATTTGTGACAGAAATCTAACGCCTGACTTGCAAGCTATCTAATGGGCCTCTTCTCAAGAGCAACAGAGAACAATGACATTTCTGAAATATGCAAAATAGAGACACTTTTGCAATCAAATGTTGCGAATCAGCTCATTCATGGGGAAATATGAATAATTAATCATAACTAGTTATAATTAATTATAAATATTTAGATCCGCTGTAGATATTTACTTGACCTCTCAGGGTCAACTGTCTGTCAATCAAATGAAAAATGGTGTGTCTGATTGGTCCAGACGCTACACAAAATATTTGAGGAACACAAAGCAAGGACCTGGGGCCCATTTCAACAAGGAGGTTCAACCAACTCTGAGTAGGTTGACTGAGTTTAGCGACTATGAAAACCCATGATCAATGGAGCTCCGAAATTATGATTCACCATGACAACAGCACTCGACAAAAAGACATCCACATACTCCCGAGTTTAATTCTTAATCACTGTTATAATATCAAAGGTAAAAACTGGCAGAACGGTACGTTTTTGAACTAATATTAATTTTAAAGGTATCCCACAGGCAAAAAAAAAGACAAAAAAAGCAGCTAAACATTAAGTATAAAAACATTATTCAATCAGGTAAAGCTTTAAGCATAAATGTTTCATGGGTGTAGACTACATGACTTAATATCATTCAGTGTCTATTTCGATGTGCAGCAGCTTTTTTCACATAGTCTAATGCTCTTTTCACATAATTAAATGTTCTCTAATCCAAACTGTTGCATTTCTTAATTAGAGTAATGAAATTAACATTTGACTTCTACTTAGCCAACAGCAAGAAGGCTTGCAAAATAATGAAGAACAGATAAAGAGGATGGCCACAATACCAAGTATTGGAAGAATATTAAAATCCAACAGGAAATGTTGCTTTTGTATTTGTAGAAAATAAAGCTGACCAAAAAATTTTAACAGCTGTGGTGATGGTTACGGCATATACCATATGGCAACCTTCCATTCCATACAGTAATCAATCAGCTTAATTTTCGATGGGTTTGTGCTCAGGAAACTACACAAAAATGATAATGAAGAGCGTGAGAGTGAGGCACACTTTCCTTACAGCTCTGCATACAGCGGCCTTACTAATGTGCTCTGCATCCCAGATGTTATATAGAAACTACCATTTAAAAATGGTACTGCTCAGAAAAATGTTCACTTAAACTTCTTTCTGAAACGGGCCTCTGGCTGGTAAATTAGTATTATATTCAAAACAGTAAATTAGTATTATACTCAAAACAATTTAAATGTAGACACTTGCCTGGTCAAAGAGCTGTTTGCCAGTTGTGTTGGGTTGGATGGCAAATTCCAGCTCTGCATCCATAGTAGTCACACGCACATTAATCTGTTAAACAAGAACAAATAAACAAGTAAATACATACATACTCCTGATTGTTCATTTTCAGTTAAGACTGATTACTGACTAATTAAGACTATTAGTATACTGATTAGTATACTAATTCTGGTGAAATATCACACTCCTGAAAGACTATCAGCTGTTCAGATTCCAGGACCTGAACAGAATTTACTAAATATACACATTTATTATTACCACAATAAGCCATGTCACTATTAATTGAGCAGCCCTAATTGTTAAATACTTCACATTTAAATACTTAAATACTTAATAATTAAATATTTAACGTTTTGTCACATTTTGTCACACACACTTTTTTTTTCTGATTAATTGTGCTCACAATAAATGCTAGAATATATCATTCTCTCCATCTCATACAAACATGCACATAAGAGAAAGGTGATCCAGTGAGCCGTCCTGCTCGGATTGAGTTACAGCAGAGTTTTCAGTGGCTCTGTCTGCCATATACTGCAGCCTGGCCTTCCTTTCTCCCATCTCATCCTCACTATCATTAATTTCTAATGAAAGCTCCAGGATGCTTCACATAATATACCATGAATACAAACATCGTTCCTCAACTGCCTTGCTACGCATTTCTTGCACAAAGAACTGGCTTTATCACATATGGGTTGGTATTTATTCAGTACATCCCACGCCTACTGACAGCTATACTGCAAAGAAAATGTCTGAATCCTTCCAGCTTTCTTACAATAGGCAAAATGGGATTCCCTAGCTGAGTCAAGAATATACCGTATGATCCTCTTATGGACAGATGAATCAAAAGCCCAATAATGTATTTCATAAGAAGAACCTCACACCAACCACCAAGTACCATAATGGTAGTGTGACGATTTAAAGATGTTTCGCAGCATCTTGGACCTGGAGGTCTTGCCGTTATTGAAGGATAGGGACTATGCTGACCCGCACCAAAAGATTTCTCCAGTAGAAGCCATTTGTCTATGCACTAAATCACAGCTGGCTCAGCAGAGAGACAATGATCTGAAGGCTACAAATGTCAAGGAACTGAAGCAGTTTTTTTCTTCCACTACAGTGTGAAACATATATAAGTACAGGGACTGTTTAGTCGCATTTATTTCTGCTAATGGTGTTATAGCCAGTAATTGAATAGGGGGCATTCACTTTTTAGTGTAAAAATATGCAAAAAGAATCAGACACTGAAACAAAATGTAGTCAGCCTCACTCCGAGGCTGACTACTAAAAATAAACTAAAATTGCAAATGAACAATTCAGACTTAAATCTTTATACTAGACATTAATATTATTGAGATTAACTCACAAGCATGTTTTAATAATTTGTTCACACGTCTTAACTGAAACATGAAGAGATTTTATTAATTGATCCCTTTGTTTTAATAAAAGTAAAACAAAGTATGAAAGACATCGTCAGAATAGTCCATCTGCCATCAGTGGCTCAACCGTAACATTACGAAGCGACGAGAATACTTTTTGTACGCGAAGAAAACAAAAAGAACGACTTTATTCAACAATTCGTCTCCTCGGTGTCTCTTCGCATCACCGTAGCGCCATTTTGGAGAATATGCGCTGAACGCAAACTGCGTATACTCTTCTGTGTCAGCCGCGACACAAGGATACGTTTTCTACGTGTATTTACGTTTTGATTTGAATGAAAACAGTGCATTCGTGCAGCGCGGCTGACACAGAAGAGCGTACGCTGCTTGCGTTCAGCGCATATTCTCCAAAATGGCGCTACGGTGATGCGGAGAGACACAGAGGAGACGAATTGTTGAATAAAGTCGTTATTTTTGTTTTCTTCGCGTACAAAAAGTATTCTCGTCGCTTCATAACATTACGGTTGAACCACTGATGGCAGATGGACTATTCTGACGATGTCTTTCATACTTTTCTGGGCCTTGACAGTGTAATTTACTTGGCAGGCAATGGGACAGTCACAAGCCTCCCGGTTTTCATCCAAAATATCTTAACTGTGTTCCGAAGACGAACTAAGCTTTTACGGGTTTGGAATGACATGGGGGTAAGTGATTAATGACAAAATTTTCATTTTGGGGTGGAGTATCCCTTTAACCTACGAGGGAATGCAATCCTATTCCTAAACTGATCATCTACAGCCTCAAATGAATTACATATCAAATAAGAGAAAAAAGGACGAGGCTATGCTTAAATCCTAACCCAATCAAGCCATCAAAGGCATGCTTACAAATGAGAAGAATATATATTTATAACATTGGGCTGTTAAAAAAAATACATACTCTACTGTAAGTGCCTGATCCAACGTGATGCACCTAGCTAGTGGTAATCTGAAGATGATCAGTAATCAACTTTTCAAAGAATTTAATCGGGTCTGAGCCCTCAGTCCCTTCAGGAAAACTGATAACTTGAACATTGCATCTGCGTCCTCCTCGGTTTTCCAGGTTGTCGATGTGGTTCACCAAATGATGCACCTGTTTCTCCAAGGCTGCTGTTTTTGCATCCATGGATGAAGTCAGGGTCTTAAAGGGGTCCTGTTATGCTTTTTCACTTTTTGAATTTTAGTCAGTGTGTAGTGTGTATGTTTGGGCATAAAAAAGATCTACAAAGTTACAAATCTCAAAGTCCACTTTAAAGGGAGATATTTAGTTTAAAAAAAAATCCCTTTTCAAGAACTACAACGAACGGCTAGTTTGGACTACAGCGTTGTTTTCCGGGTTTTGTGATGTCACAAAGCGGCCCATTAGAATATCATTAATATAATTCCAGCCTACGGAAATTCGAATGGTTGGGGGGTGGGGAGGGGTGAGGTCGTGGGTTGAGTGCATCAGACAAGACGACGATGAAGAAGTGCTCCTGTAGCGTAAAGTTTTTGCAAATTATTACACATGCACCTGTAGCCTATGTAAATATGTATGCTACAATTATGAAAACATTTTTATAATAAATTGCTGAAGGAAACCGACTGTCTTCAGAAAATTGGATGTCATTTTCATTTTATCTTTCATGTAATGTCTGATAAAGTAGCGTTTGTGAGCATAGAGCTGCTTTGTGTACAGCGGTTACCAGGAAAACCTCGATCTCTTCCACTCCAACAGCGACTCCTGCTGCCAGAGAATGAATTTGCATATATATGCCGCCACAAATAGAGTGCAAGTCTGTGGGAAACACTGGACTATGGTATAAATAAATTCAACTGTATAACAGTTTCACTGCAATTCATGTTATAATGTTAGAATTAAAGAACAATAAACATAATACATATGCGCTTATCTGTAAGCTCAAATTTATATGGCAATATTGACGCCATCCTTATCTATACTGGAGCTGACAAACATGCTGCTTTGGCAAGGGGCGGGGCAGTACTGAAACACCGTCTAAGCTGTTCGCCAATCACAACGCACTGGGACAGCTAACCAATCACAACACATTTAGTTTTTCGGAAGGCGGGTCTTCATCAAACCCGGAACTAATCGAGCCGTTTGTGCCAGGCTGGGGAAAAAGGTATTGTAATAATGTAAATTGTGTGAAAAATATACATTTATATACGTATTATATATCATTATACACCAAGCATGAGAGCATGTTCTAGTATACCCCAAAACAAAATCAAGACTTTGTAAAAGAGCATAATAAGACCCCTTTAACAGCAGCTTTCCTCCCTTCCACATCACCAATTTGCTGACTCATGGTCTGAAGTTGGACTGTTTGCTCATGTATTACTTCCAGGACTAGGGTTGGGTATCGTTTAAATTTTATCAATTCCGATTCCGATTCTGCTTCTCGATTCCGATTCTTTTCGATTCCCAGTTTCGATTCCAATGTGATTAAACAATGATATCAAACATTTATCCTGTGTCTCTTTTTTGCAAACCATTTATTGGAGCTGAATACCATGAACAAAAATCAACAGGCTACATAAAAACTGGACTCTTTAAGAGCTGTTTGTGTGCAAAATAGAACTGCATGATTCTGGATAAATTGTTTTTTTTTTCTTTCTTTCTTTTTTTTTCCCCCAGTGGAAGTTGTGGTTCTCATCATTCTGAAGAAAACACATTAGACAACTAAACAAAATCACATGTAATTTATGAATAAATGATTCAATGACTCTAGGGCAGCAGCTATCGATTATTTTAGTAATCAAGTATTCTACAGATTATTCCATCGATTAATCGAGTAATCGGATAAGAAGTCATTTTTCTTTATTAAAGAGCAATACTAAATATACAAGAGATAATAAGATAGGTCTCTTAAAATAAACAACTAATTTGTTCTCTTTTTAGAAAAAATTACATTTTTATTGCTGAAATTGCATACATTAATAACCGTGAAAACTAAACCCATTTAATGCATTTAATTGCCAAATTACATTCAAAATCCAAATACAAATATATCAATCAAAAAAATAAAATAAAAATAATAATAATAATAAAAATAAATAAATAAAAATACAAAAATCAATTTCACATTACTTTAAAAAAGGTAAACAGTACAAACTAAAACTAAGGCATAAATACAAATATTAGTAAAAAAAAAAAAAACCTAAACATTGCATTTGTCGTGCAACTTAACTTTCAAGTTTCAGTCTAACTAAAGCTCAAGCATGACATAAGCCTTTACTGTCTTCTTGGAAGGCTTTGCGGCTTTTGTGAGAGGCAAAAAACAGTGGACAGAAAGGTAACTTGGAACAAGAACAAGAGACCATACACAGTTTCTAAACACATTTTTCTGCAACATGAAATTAGATTTATTTGGAGAATAAACCCTCTTAAATGTTCCTTGACGTACTGGTGTGTGTGTGTGTGTGTGTGTGTGTGTAAAACTTGTTTTTGATATCCTTCATATTCTGTGTGCTGGTCAGTTCACAGCAGTGAATAGAAATTAATCTGTTCCAATAAGTTTAAATTGATTTTTACATTTTA